TCTAGCTCTAAGTTAAATCGAACTCTAATCGCTTACTATACGTTTTTAATCTATATATAAATATATATATAAAGAGAGACGCGTTAAGATTTAATTAGAAAGGTATATTAAGTATAGTAAATTAATTCGTAATAATTACTTATAAAAAATAGAGAAAGACTATATTCTTATAATAAGAAGTATCGAAATATTAAAAAGAAATAAAGATAATATATTAATTAATAGTATAAATTTTATATTATCTTCTATTATAGTAAAATCTTTCGAATAATAAAATAGCTATTAGAGTAAGATATCGAATAATTTTAATTCGTTTAAATATATATTATTTGATATTTTTTCTATAGAGACTTAATTAACTATAATTATCGTAGTAAATTCTTCTCTTATAACGTTATTATAGTAATATATTATATTAATATAATAAGAATAATAGATTAAATTATAGTAGTATTCTTCGCTTATTAAATAATAATTTAATATAGAATTATAAAGAGTATATAATATAAGATCTTAAAGAGCTAAGTTATATTCTTAATATTAAAAATCTTATTATCGCTTAATTTCTTTATAGTATTCTCTATAGTATTCTTCGTAATATTCTTTATATTTATCTATTATAATTTCTTCTCTTACTTCTTAATATAGTAAAAATAATAGATTAAATTATATTAATATTCTTCGCTTATTAAGTAATAATTTAATATAAAATCGTAGAGAGTATATAATATGGGATCTTAGAGAGCTAAGCTATATTCTTAATACTAAGAGTCTTATTATCGCTTAATTTCTTCGTAATATTCTTTATATTTATCTATTATAGTTTCTTCTCTTACTTCTTCTCTTATAAAGTATTAGATTAAATAATTAATTAAATAATTAACTAAGTAAATAACTAATATAATATAAAATCTTAAAAAGTTAAGTCGTATTCTTAATGTTAAAAGTCTTATTATCGTATAGTTTCTCTATAGTATTCTCCGCATTTATCTATTATAGTTTCTTCTTTTATTTCTTCTTTTATAGAGTATTAGATTAAGTAGCTAGCTAAGTAATTAATTAAGTAAATAATTAATATAATATAAAATCTTAGAGAGCTAAGTCGTATTCTTAACGATAATAATCTTATTATTACTTAATTTCTTCGTAATATACTTTACATTTATCTATTATAGTTTTTTCTCTTATTTTTTCTCTTATAAAGTATTAGACTAAGTAACTAGTTAAATAGCTAACTAAGTAGATAACTAAGTAATTAATTAATAATTTAATTAAGTGAATTATTAAGCTAATAAAGTAGATAGTATTAATTAAGCAATTAATCGAGTATCGCTAACTTAAGAGAAGTATATAAGAAAGAACGATGGCTATAAATCCGTTCGGGCTCTTTTTAAAGATCTTTTAACGCGTTTATAAGTAGTAGTAGATAGCTATTAAGCTCGCTTATAACCTCGATTATTAGTAGTAGCGAATTTATTAAAAAATAATCTAAGGGCGTTAATAAGGAGTTTAAAAGATAGGTGAAAGAGATATATATCTTAGATACTTAGTAATATTTAAATAAGAAGTATCGAAGACGAATTTATTTATAATTAATAGATTAGTAGAATTATAGAGAAAGAATAATTATATAAATAGATAAAAGGATTAATATTTAATTTCGGACGCGTCTGATATAACTATTATAACTACTATATTTAAATATTTATTTAATTCACTAATAGTAGGTTAAATTTTATTATTTTTATAGCGTTAGAAAGTGTATACTAAGCTCTATAATTTACGAAATTATAAAGAAATAATATTTATAGAAAGCTGATTATTATAAAGTGTAAAACTTTTATATATAAATTTTTAATAAGAAAGCTTAGAAGGGCTAGCGGGCTAATTTAGATAGTCTAGCTAAAAGGCGTAATAACCTCGAATTTATAATTGGCTATATATATAAATTCAAGGTTTTCTAATTTAATTCTATCTTATTCTATTATATATACTAATATAAAATAATTTAATAATATTAATTAGATATTTAATTTATAATTATTCTAGATTATTAAATTAAAGATATAATATTTAAGTTTATAAAAAACCTTTTAAATTTAATTTTAATTAATAAAATTATATAAGTATATATAGTATAAAGTCTTATCTCGATTTAATATTTTAAAAAACTTTAAATAACTTCGAGACCTTCGATTTTTTTTTCTCGAAAATATTATAGAATTAATAATTTAACTTAATCTTCTCTTACTTAACTCTTTTTTTATAAATATTATTAAAATCCTTTTTTTTAATTTAATAATAATTAATAAAGATAGTAGTTTTTTAAATTTATAATATAATATTTAATTAATAATTAGAATTAATTATAAATATAATTAAAAATCTTACTTTCGCTAATATTATTAAAGCGTTTAAATTTCTCTTTTTTTAAAGTTTATTAAAATTTATCTTCTAATTTTATATATTATAAGATTTCTTATTTAGTAAAAGAATTAAAACTTTATTAAATAAATCTTTAACTACTAGCTAAATAATATAAATTAAATATAAAAAATACTTAAGTTTAATAATAGTATTATTATATTATATATTAATTTATAAAAAGATAGTCTTAAATATCTTATCTAATTTTTTTATACTTTAATCTTAATATTAAAAACGTAATTAATAATAATTATCGAGATTAAATATTTATATTTATAAAATTTAAGCTTCTTTTATAAAATAGCGATAATTTTTTTATTAATATAAAAAATCGAAATATATTAAAAGATTGAAAGAACTTTATAATATTTTAAATTAAAATTAATAAAATACGCGTTATTAGTAAGATAGCTTTATTTATTTTTAAAAGATTAATTAATATAAAATAAAGAAATTTTAATATTATCTTATTAAATAAACGTCGACGTCGAGATAATAAATTTAATCGAGGGCCGGAAAGGTATGGGATTTTTTGGACTCAGAATTTTTTAACTTTTATCTCTTTTTTTGAAAATTTATATCTTTATAATCTATTTATAGAATCTTATAATTCTTAAACCCTTTAACGAGGCTAGTCTATTCTATACGGAAATTCTTTAAAAAATGATAATTTGTATATAAAATACTAAGTGGAATTAGAAATATCCCATACCTTTTAGAATAATATCTCGAAAATTGCCTAAATCCCATATCAAATATCATACCTTTCCGGCTACTAGATTATTCTTCTTTTATATTTAATAGCTTTTTTATTTTAATTATTAAATAACTCTATTATTAATAGTTTAATATATCTTAAATTACTACTCTATCTACTTCTAATAAAAATAAATTAGATTGAATTTAAAAGTAGTAAAAAAAAGCTACGAAAATTAATAAGAGATAGATATTTCTTAAAAAACGTAATAATCTTCTCTAGCGTATTTTATTACTCTTAAAGTATTAAATAGTAATAATTAAATATTAGATAGCTATTAATTATCTTTTAAATAATCTATTTCTTACTTTATATACTATATTTAATCTTATATAAATTATTATTATCTAAAAAATACTTTAAAATAATATTAGTTTATATATCTTTATTTAAAATTCTTATAAATATTATTAATATTCTATAAATATATTAGAGCTTAAAATCTTCGTCGCTATTATAATCTATATAAATATCTTTTATTTTTTATTATTTATAAAAGCGTAGTAATAGAGTCATTATTATACTAGTCGAAAAGATATAAGATTTTTTAAACTTAGAATCTTTTAACTTTTACTTCTTTTATTTAAAAATTTATATCTTTATAATCTATTTATAAAATCTTATAATTCTTAAAGTTCTATAGCGAGGCTAGTCTATTTTATACGAGATAATTTTAAAATATAGTAATTTATATATGAAATATCGAGTAGAATTAGAAATATCCCTTATCATTTAAAATAATATCTCGAAAATTCCGTAAATCCTAAATTATATATTATATCTTTTCGGCCTCTAGTTATTAAAAGAAGTAGCTCTCTATTAAATAAGATTAAATTCTCTCTCTATATCTATACTATTAAAGATACTATAAGATACTTATATAATAAGACTTAAAGACTATTTAAGCGTATCTTATAGATTATAAGAATATTTAAAATTATAATATTAGACTAGAAATTAATATAAATAGAAATACTACTCTTAAGATACGCGAGAAGTATTAAGTATATTAAATCTTCTTATATTATAAAGAGAATTATATAAGATAATTTTATAAAAGAAGTAATATATTAAACTCTATATAGTAGATCTAGATTATATTTATTAAATTATATTAATATAGTAGAATAGTAATCGCAAAAATATTACGAAGAAAATAATTTATTACCTCTCGACGTTTATCGAATAGAAAGACTTTTAAAAAATTAAGAAAAATTTCTTAATATTAAAGTAAAACGTTGATTTTTATTATATTTTTATTTAATAAATATATAATAGAATTAACATAAAGATATAATCTTTATAATTTAATATTATTAATATAATAAAGTAAATATTATAAAAATATAATAGTTAAATAAGCTACTTATATTAATTATCTTAATATAAAAAAAACCATTTTTTTTTAATATTAAGTATTTATTCTATACTTAATTAATATAATTTTAACTATCTTTTTTAATATTATTATTTATACTTTATTAATATATTTTTTATTTTTCTAAAATATTTAATTCTATTTTTATTATTAATTTTAAGTATTAATTTACTGGCCGGAAAGGTATGGGATATTCCATGGGATATTCCATACCAAGTGATATCATACCGTACCCGGGTATGGTATGGGTAGGGTCGGATACCATACCATTTTTCTGGTATGGGTTCGGGATCTTGGCGGTATATCCCACGGTATGGTATATCTGTGGTATTATACCATGGAATAGTATATGTATGGGATATCCCCACTGAGATTTCTATATTTAGAAGTATAAGTAGCTATTCTGATCATCATTCTGGCCAACCATGGCTACCACTATCATCTACCATGGCTGCCACTATCATGGCTGCCACTACCATGGCTGCCCCTACCATGGCTGCCACTACCATGGCTGCCCCTACCATGACTGCCCCTACCATGGCCACCCCTACCATGGCCACCCCTATTATGGCTGCCACTACCATAGCTGCCACTACCATAGCTACCACTACCATAACTACTACTACCATGGCTACCATATGATAGTAGGCTATTTCAATAATAAATAGTGGTAGCCATGATAGTGGTAGCCATGGTAGTGGTAGCTGTTAGAATGTTAGGTATGTGATGTGTAGAACGGACGGATCAATTCTCCAGAACCTCTCCGGGGCCAGGTTCTAAATATAGTACAAAATTAGGTAGCTGGAAAACATGGTGGCTGGGATGCGCGGGGGCCACATTTCGATGGTAGGCATGGTAGTGGCAGGCATTGATAGTGGTAGCCATGGTAGGGGCAGCCATGGTAGGTAGCCATGGTAAAGACAGCCATGATAGGTAGCCATGATAGGGGCAGCCATGGTAGATAGCTATGGTAGTAACAGCCATGATAGGTGACGAGAATACTTCTAAATATAGAAATCCCAACCGGGATATCCCATACATATACCATTCCATGGTATGATACCACAGATATACCATACCGTGGTATATACCGCCAAGATCCCATACCATACCAGGTATGGGATCATGCAAATCTCAATAACCCATACCATACCAGAGTATGGTATGGCAGGTCAATATCCCATACCATACCATACCTTTCCGGCCATACTGTATTATTCTATTTATAAAAAATCTAAAAGACGTATTATCTTATTATTTATTAATAAACCTTAAATAATATAAAAGTATATTTAATATATTACTCTTAGCTCTTCTCTTATCTTTATAATAATTTTAATCTAAAAATACTATATAAAAATAAACTTAAAAGTTTTTTATAAAATATTCTTTACTTTATCTTTTACTAGATAATCTATAAATTATTTAATTTTCTTTTATTATTTAAGAAATATATTTTTATCTAAAATTTTAAATATAAAATAAATCTTATTTTTATTCTATATCTCGAAATTAATTATATTTTTAAAAGTATAAATAACTTTATTTATATTAGAAATTTCTCTAAAATTAAGTAAAATTTAATTATTTTAAAAGAAAGATTAATCTTTAGATAATTCGATTATAAAGAAAGCGAAGATCGCTATTTTAATTATAAAAAAATAAATTATATATTAAGAATAAATTATAATATAGAATATAATAAGAAATATAATAATTAATATTATAATAGTAATTAAGAGTATAAATAATTTAGAAAGTCTATCTTATTCGATATAATTTAATAATTATAATAATTATTAATTAAGTAGACTTTATATAATATCTTATTCTCTTATTTATTCTCTTATTTATTCTCTAATTTATTCTCTTATTTATTCTCTTATTTATTCTCTAATTTATTCTCTTAAAAGTTATAGATCGCTTTATTTAAGCGTTAATATTTAAATTAATTATTTTAATCTTCTAGCTAGTTAATTTATCTATTTAAATACTAGAAGTTAAATAAGAACTTCTTAATTCTAAAATATTAAATTTATTTAAATTTATTTATAAATTAAAGTTAAAATATTTAAATTTATTAAATATCTTTTTTATTAATAATATAGATATAATATAGTTATAACGCTTAATATACTTTCAATTATTTTAAAAGTAATATATAATTAAATAAGTCTTATATTAATAACTTAATTCTTTATATAATTAAATAGATTTTAATAAAAGTTTATTAATTTTAATTATAAATCGCTAAATTAATCTATTAATCTAAATATTATTATTTAAATAAATTCTAATAGAAGTTTATAACTTATTTTAATAATTTAAAAGTACGCTACGTAATTAGATAAGAAACTTCGATAAGATTTTAAGAGAAGTCGAGATTAAAATAAGATATCGAGACGAGATCTCGAGCTTTCTTAAAATTCTAATTTGATTTTAATATTAAAGCGAGATTATAAATTAAATCTCATTATTTTAATAAATTTTAATATTATATATTAAAAGCTAGAATTAAAAAAAGTATAAATTATAATATCTTTTTAAGTTAAAGTATAAGATATAAATACTTAAAAAGATAATTAGAAGATATATATATTTATATTTAAAAAACGTTATAGAAGTATTATAAAAACGTTATAAGAGTAATTTTTCTAAAATAATTTAATTAAACGTTTAATAATAAAAATAAGATATTCTTATTATCTTATTTAAAAAACGCTATCTCGACTTAACTCTATCTCGACTTAAGTTTATCTCGACTTAAGTCTATCTCGACTTAACTCTATCTCGTTAAAATCTTAGCTTAAAATAAGATAATATTAATTATTCTATATCTCGCTCTACTTCGCTTCGTTATATAGCGTATTTAAAAGTATTCTATCTTTATAAATTAATAATAAAATAAAAATTATTTCTATCTTTTTTTATATTATTATAATTATTTTAATAAAACTTTATCTTTTCTTATTAAGTCGAATATATTATTAATCGAAAAGATATAATATAATTTACGAGATATTTTATATTAAGTAATACTATATCGTATTTGTATATTAATATATATAATAGAATAAAATAGAGCTAAGCTTGAAAATCTTAAATTTATATGTATAGTCAATTATTAATTCGGGTCCTCTACGCTTTTTGACTAGATCGGCTGACTTATCGTGAGTAAATAAATTAGCGTTCGTAATCATCAGAATCTCGCCCTTTTACGCCTCTCTTATGAAAAAAATAGGTATATATTATTAACATATAGAATTACTTTCTTATTTTCTATTAAAATTTTGAGATTTTTTCTTTAAATTTTAAAGCGCTATTTATACTTTCCGAATTTTTAAGAATTTTGAAATTGAGTTCTATACTTATTAAAGCGCAAGGAATTCAAATATCGCTCACCAAAGTTCGCTTACTAAAGATCGCTCACCTACTTACTCGATAGCTCTAATTAAAAAGAAAATTATAAATTTAATTCATAGGCCTTTACTCGTAATATATATAGAATTAAATATTATATCTTTTTTTAATATAAGTTCGAGATTATAATAATATATATTACGAGATAATATATCTATAGTATTATATTATAAAATAATATATATATATAATAATTCGATTAGAATTTCTATATTTAGAAGTATTAAGTAGCTATTCTAATTATTCTTCTAATTAACGACTAATCGTACGACTATAATATCGTATTATTTTACTATTATAACTATTATTATTATAGCTATTACTATTATAACTATTATTATTATATATATTATTACTATAATTATTATAGAATAAACTATTTTAATAATAAATAGTAATAGTTATAATAGTAATAGTTATAATAGTAATAGCTATAATAGTAATAGCTATTAAAATATTAGATATATAATATATAGAATAAATAAATTAATTCTTTAAAATCTCTTTAAGACTAGATTTTAAATATAGTATAAAAATAGATAATTAAAAAATATAATAGCTAAGATACGCGAGAGTTATATTTCGATAGTAGTTATAATAATAATAGCTATAATAGTAATAGTTATAATAGTAATAGCTATAATAGTAATAGTTATAATAGTAATAGCTATAATAGTAATAGCTATAATAGTAATAGCTATAATAGTAATAGCTATAATAGTAATAGCTATTATATCGAATTTATCGAGTTATTAACTAGAATAATAATTAGAATACTTTTAAATATAGAAATCTTAATCGAAATATCTTATATATATATTATTTTATAATATAATATTATAAATATATTATTTTATAGTATATATTTTTAAAATTCTATATCGTATTAGATATAAAATTATATAGATATAAATATTCTATATCTTATTAGAGTATAATATAATAGATTAATAGATTATATTATATTATATCTTTTTAACTAATAATTATATATAACTTATATTTATTAATTAAATTAATCGATATCTTATTAAAAAAGTTTAATTTCTATTTTCTTATTAAATATAAATAGAGATATAAAAGTTATTTTTTCTATTATTATAATTTTCTTTTTAATAAAAGTTAATATTAATAAAAAAAATTTTAAATTTTTTTTTAAGTTCTTTATTTTTTAAATTTAAATTATTATAAGAATAAAAGTACTTAGAGTCTATTAATAGATCTCGCTTATATTACTTACTAGATTATAAGCTATATAGTTAAAACGAGTATTTAATATATTTAATAGAAGTCTTAAATATTTATAAGTTCTCTTTTTTTTTCTTTTTTTTTTAGTTATTAGTTTATTTTATAATTAATCTATTTATTCTTATAGTTTTAAATTTAAATCTTATAATTATATAGCTACTATATAATTCTATTAAAAGAAATCTTAGTATTTTATTATTTTAATAAATAATTTATATAAAGTTATTTAATTTAATTATAATAAGTAACTTACGAGTTAATTTTATTAACATATAAAATAGAAATATTAATATATATAAAAGAATAAGATAGAGCTAAATTAGAAAACCTTGAATTTATATATATAGCCAATTATTAATTTGGGGTTATTACGTCTTTTGGCTAGATCGGCTAAGTTATCGCGGGTAAATAAATTAGCGTCCGCAACCATCAAAATCTCGCCCTCCCGCGTCTCCCTTATTAAAAAAATAGGTGTACGTTATTCACAATAGTAATAACTTTTTTGTTTTCTATTAAAATTCTGAAATTTTTTACTTTAAATTTTAAAGCGCTATTTGCGCTTTCCGAATTTTTAAGAATTTTGAAATTTAGTCTTATAATTATTAAAGCGTAAGGAATTCAAATATCGCTCACCAAAGTTCGCTCATCAAAGATCGCTCACCTACTTACTCGATAGCCCTAATTAAAAAAATGATTATGAATTTAATTCATAGACCTTTACTCGTTATATTATAATTTATTAATATAATTTTTAACTTAATAGATAGCTTTTACTAAAGTATATCTACTATATAATTAAGTAATTAAAGTATTAATTTTAATATTAATACATATTTTAATATTATTATTAGCGAAAATAATAATCGTTAAAGCTTTATATTTAATAACTCTTTCTTAATAAATAAAAACTCTTATTTTATAAATATAATTTAAATCTAACGCTATTAATTTCTAGAGTTTAATATTAAAAAGTAATTAATTATCGAAAAACTTAAGCTAATTAAAATATAGAATATATAAAAATATTATCACGAGTATAGCGATAATTATTATCGCGATTTAAGTTATAAGAAGATAGATATTATTAAGATATCTAATATCTAATATCTTAATAATTATAGCTTAATAATTATATTTTTTTAAAATTATAATAATAATATTATTTTAATACTTTATATTAACTTCTATATAAATAAATAAAAGATTTATAAATTTTAATTTTTTTAGTTAATATTAAAAAAGAGATTTAAAAAAATATTAAAAAAACGATATTATATAAAATTAAAAA